CTGTGAGATGTTGAGTCGAGATTGTTCTGAACAACTCGTTACTTGAGTGTGGCCTGTGTGTAGTGCTCAAAAAATGGGCATGCCTGTGTCTGTAAAGAAAGATCCCAGGGTTAATTATATCGCCTCCAGAGCTGTTGTACTGGCACGTGGAAAGCTAACTCCTGTAATCTTCTGTGACTCATGGTTAAATACTCTAAATGGGAGGAAAGAACCCTTAAGGAACCCGTGATAGTGGCAACCAGTTTTTCACACTTCGTGAAATACAATGATTCGCAGTTTTAAAAAAAACCAACTACTGGAGCACTTGCTCAGAATTTGTCAGGAGACACCAGGCAGCCAAGGAAGGAGTTGAGCACCTGTTTGTAAAATTGCTGAATGATAAGTAAGTCCTCCATGGACTAACTTGACACTCTGCCTCTTTTCTATTATGGCATGCTCTTTTAGCAGTAGAAGTTTTGTTTCTTGAGGTTGTCTTAATGAAAGCTGGTACTTATGGTACCAGATAGATAAAGCAAAATACAATAAAATGGGTGGAGCAAACCTATATATCTGTAGAGGACTTGTTGTTGTTGTTGCTCACTGCTTGCTGTTAAGAGTTTTCTTCCTAGACAGGGCTTGGTCCTGTGTAGAATGATTTCTTGATTGGGCAGAGATTATACCATTGGTACCCTACATCTATCTGAAACCTCACATTCCTGATATGCACCACTTGAGCATTACTTTAAATTTGGTTTCAGAGGGGCTGCAGTTGAAATCTGTTTGACTATGCCAAGTTTCATCAAGTGTTGTGTCAAGCTTACAAATTCTGTGTGATCTTAATGCATAACCATAAAGCAGAGCAGGTTTGTTGAAAATGGCCCTAAGTTTTAGCTTACCTTTTGATGAACTTGGCATGACAATTGTAGTTTGTAAGAAGATACATCACTAAGGAACTTTGCAGTGTTTAATTGTCAGTGTTAACACAGAGCTGTCACAGTAGTGTAGACTGGGGACATACGTGACCTGTCATTAAATGGTAATTCATCTGCTAACAGTTCAATGTCTGAAGTATGCTGCCTTTTTACGCTGAAGACTTAGTGAAAAAACAACTCAGAGTATAAAGTTTTCCCAAAGTTCAGAAACATTTCATCAGTGAATGTGAAAGTTTTAAAAAACTTTTTTTCCCAGCTGTATGAACCAGAGCTAGACATATAATTGATTTATTTTTTGGAGTGTTAAGAAAATATGTTTCCCATAAAGGGAGTTTTCTGGCAATGGAAGGAAGTACTTTTGGAACTGCATTACAGTATTACTTGTTTGCATCTATATTCTTAAGACTAGTGTGTACTAGTTTTTTTTCAGCATGTCCTTATAGCTCCAAATGGAGTAATATGCCTTAATATACATTAAGCCGGAGGAAACAGAGTTAGTTAAGAAGGTATTCTTCTACTGGCCAGTTTATTTCAGGTTAAGGAAAAGGTTTGAAACTTGTAATGAAATCTTTTTTGAACTTAGTGAGGAACAAAATAATCTAGACCACTTTAAAGATCAGAACCTGCTTTCTCTTTGTGCTTTTGCAGTTTAGAGGGTGGTTCACTGATGTCATACTGATGTTTCACTTGTGTAATGAGCAGAAGTGATGACAGCTCTCTTAAAGGAGATCTTACTTGAGGGAGTTAGGTCTGTTACAATAGGATTTTAAACTATCATTTCTAGAATGTTGTAGCAGTGGTGAAGTGTGAATGTGTGACATTATTCAGTAACTGCTGAAGTGTGCTGAGATAAATGTGTTATTGTAGGTTGCAACATGCAGTCAGTAGGTGTGTGATTCTGAATGCCTTTATTAGAATTAATCAGTAGTTTACAGTGGGGAGATTAAATTAAAGGTCTGAAAACAACTATTTTTTACTGATTACTCATTGAAGGAGAGGCAGAATGCTATAGTATAATCAAGCAAGTAGTATTGTAGGCAGCTGCGGGTTTGGTTTAGAGACAGCAGTCAGTATCTGTGATCTAATATGTGTGATCTGTTTGGGTACTATCCAGCCAGGTTTTGGCGGTGCTACACTCTGCTGTGGTGTGCAGTGGGAGCTTCCAAGCTCTCCATGTGACTTCAGCCAGCTGTGAGTCAGTATGTTTTTCTTCTGTGCTACAATAAAAATCTTCAGTTAAAGAATAGGGTGGATATTCTTAAGGGCAGGCAGGCAAATTACGTTTCTTGGCATCGCCCACTGCAAGTCAAAGCTCTTAGAGTATTAATGTTTGATGATAAGTAACATTAAGGTAGAGTAGTTGTGAAGAAGGTAAAAATAGACTTCAGATAGGGAGAGGTTTTATTTCAGATCTCCCTCTAAATTAAACAGAAGAACAACTTCCCATTACAGTGTACAGCTACATCATTCTTCTCCTTTCTTTCTCTCAGTGCTATGACATAGCTGCAGAGGCTTAACTTAAAGCAAACTTGTTAAGCGAGTAAGGAAGCATAAGGGGATATGACCTGCCTGTGGTAAATTACATCTGTCCACTCTTTCTTCCAGGATTTCCAACTGCATGAAATTTGCTTTACTCTTGTGTTCTGTACTGAGATTATTTTTACAAGTGTGCTGTAGAGCAGTTATTGAGTTAGTTGCACGTAAACAAAAATTTTTCTGTGTCCCTACTCTAAGTATGGTTGTGGAAAATCAGTGGTTTTGTTTGGTTCTCTCAGTTAGGAAATGGAATTGTAAATCATTCATCTTAGAGAATCTGCTCGTATTTCTTTTAGGGGATGCAATAACAGAAGGAAAAAGGGTACCACAAATTCATGCCCGTTCTTCTTCCCACGTATTGTCCTTTTGGTCTACTCCCCAATGGACCAACATTGGTTTTTTATATACATTGTGTCCTCATGTTTAGGTCTTTGTCCAGTGTAAATTGTGGTAGCTTCACTGGCTTCAGCAGAGCAGAGCTGTTTTACACTGAGCCTTAATACAGGATGTAATACACTAACATATTTTGGTGCAACAGTCATTTGTAAGTTTTGTCAAGTTCTGCAGCTTCTTTTAGTGGGTGTTTCTGGTTAAATATTTGTATGGTTAAAATTGCAATGTCAGATTTGGATGGGTGATATGTGTGTTTAAGTGATGGGTCTACATTTTGGTAGTGTTTGCCTTAGATTTTTTTTTGATGGCTTGATCTTTAGCTAGTACAACTGATTGCTTTGTTTATTTTCTTTAAGTCTGAGTCTCTTCTCCGTGTTTCACTGTCCATTTTCCTACATTCCCACTCTTTTGTGATTTCCCTATCCCTATCTGGTCTTGACAGGATTTCTGTTGGTTGAATACTGAGGACAAGATGAGGAAGGTGTCTTTGATACCTCTTGCATAACTTTATTTTAACATTATGAGGTCCAAGTGACAGAGAAGGTGATACATAATTAAATAATGAATTCTTCAGGGCATGTTTAGAGGAAGTATGATCATTCACTTGTAGGATTTTCAGATGAAAGAACTGATAGATTTTTATGTATGATTTTATTGTTTTTACTTGGCAAAATATGTGAACTTATGCACCAAACAACAAACAAATGAAATAGGTTAGTAAATGCCAAGATAGTAAATCAGCTCATCTTAAAAATTCAAAAAAGGCAACACAAAATATGAAGGACTCTTATCTTCTAATGGGTATGCTGTGTTAATCTTATCCTGAAAAGTCCTGAAGAACAGGCAGTGTCATATGATGCTGTTCCGTCTAGTGTCATGCATTGTCTTTTTACTGCCCTTCTTTTTCCCAAGGGACAATGGATGCCATTAGAGGAAACCTTTGCTTTTCCTAGTGCATGGCAAGAGCAAAGCCCAAGTCAGCCTTGCGGCTTTGGAGGAGAGCCCAGCCTGACTTTGGGATTCTCAAGTCTGTGCTGGGATTTGGGAACACATGGATTTCTCTAACACACCAGCTAAGGTATATGGATTGCCTTTGGGAAAGCAATACACCTTCTTTCTAGTTCACCAGATTTCCCTATAAATAAATTTTAAAAAGTACTTGGAATGAGTAAAAGGTTTCTTCTAACAAAGAACGACTCCTCCTTTTTTAGGAGAACTTGCATTTTCTGTTAATTCAGGATGCTCGTGAAAATACAAATCAATCTCTGTTTTAGTTTTTCTGGAACTAGGCTTATCTTTTGAAATATGTGGAGTCTTTATCAAGGAATCCTATAAATCAGACATACTTTTCTGTCCATAATGTCAGAAGAACTGCAGTTTCCAACCATTTCTTCTTCCTAGACTGCATGATTTGCACTGTGAAATTCCTTCTTGATGCAGAAGAGGTAAAGATGCATTGTTTGTGAACAGTTTAATTTCCAGTCTGTGGGATGTCAGTGGTTATTCATAGATCTCTCATGGTGATAATACAAAGGATCGGCATGCATACTCACATCCTTTTGGGGTTCAGAAGGTAGATTCTAATGGTATGTGAGTGGACTTAGTGCTTTGGTCTAATACAGCAGTTTGTCTTCTCTTATTTTCTGCTTCTCTGTGTAACATCGTGAAGTACCTCCTCTCTTTCCTCAGTTTTCCCATTACCACACTTTGTAAAAAGAACTGAAATTACTTTGTGTCAGGGAGAAAATAAGTTAGCAAATGATTAAGTTAACAACATGAGAGAAAAGACAAGGGCAGTTTGATCCTCCCTCAATATAAGTGAAGCTGGCCCCTTCGCTGTTGTTAAAAGCGATGCGTCTCGGAGAGCAGTGACACTGTAATGCAGCTTTATTTGGCTTTCAGGTTGACTTGCTTTCTTCATTTCCCCTGTGTAAAACTAAACTTTTCCCTTCCAGCACTGCCCCACAAAGTACCATTTAAATGATGGGGAAGATTTTAAGGACCACTTTTGTTTTGCATATGGTCTGAATAGGACTTACTTCTAATTGCAGTAGGTCAGCAATCACTACTGACTTTCATACATCAGTGCACGATCTCTGAGCAGTTAAAGCCCTGGAAGGATCCACTTAAATACTTTTTTCTGTCTTGCTTTTTCAACAGTTACATCGCAAACCAACAAAAATTAGAAAGTATCAATGACAATGAGGTTGGATACTATGTTGGACTTAAAAATCTGTGAGTATGGGATACTTATCTTTTAAGGCTATCTTTTTCCCCCATTTCTTTCATAGAAGCGTATGGAAACCTTATTAAAGTGTAGGCCTCACTTTTTGTGTTACTGAGGAAAACTGTAAATCTTGCAGTTGACCCTTATTGAAATTTCACCCAAACTCTTATGTTAACTCCTATTATCATTATGCTTTCCATTATGTTTTAAATGAAACATAAATATTACAACAGTTTTATTTATTTTCCCAGGACTGTGGTGGATTCAGGCTTAAGATTTGTGTCCCGTCAGGCATTTGTGAAAAATGTGAACCTACAATACATGTGAGTAAAAATAGTGTCTGTCTTCTAAGTCAGAACTGTGTAACTCATGTTACTTTATTTATTGTTAGTTTATTTCTGTCTCTTACCATTTACTTAATAAAAAAAATACTTTAACAAGTCAGACTTACAATGCTCTTCTATCATTAATTGACTTTAAATAAGGTATATATGGTAAGGAACTGGCAGATCATAAGAACACAATGTGGGATGGTAAATAGACCATGCATTTCATTATCCTGTCTATTACAGCGGACTTTGACTGTATCTTTTGTGGTAAGCAGTGTAGTGCAAAGAATGCCTCTCTTGAGCATATGATGTCCCCACTGTGCATCACACTCAGTGACATGAATTTGACTAGCTCTAGTGTGATTTGATGGGCAGAGCATGTTTTCACAAAATCATAGTATATGGCAAGTTGGAGGAGACCCGCAAGGATCACTGAGTCCAACTCCTGGCCCTGCACCCATTCCCAAGAGCAGCTGCAGTGCAGTAGGTGCATACATGAAGCACACCTACTATAATTTGACCAATACACATGCCCAGAGATTGTGACATGACTGTGAACTGAAGTCCTGGGAGTGACCAGAAGATTTACTTTGAAAGCTCACTCACTAAACTAATGCACCCAAAGCAGAATGTAGAAATGATGTTGCTTTCACACCCAAATGCAATTTGTAGTTCATGAACTTCAGGAAGCAGAATTGATGCCTGTGCAGCTTATTGACTTTGTTTTTCTAGATTTCTTATGCTTTAAATGTAGCAAAGGCTGAACCGATCAAAGTTCTCTTTTTAGTATGACTTTTGTGCTTTTATCCTAATGAGATTGGGAAGACATTTTGCCAAACCTTGGGTTTGTAAGATATTTTGTTGTAATCGGGAAGAACTGTTACACAGAGAACAGGGTTAATTGTTTTGCTTATGAGATGGAATCACGTTCTGACCTGTGTTTTCCAAAAAATAGCAATTAATTCATGTAAGGAAGTGGAAATGAATGTTCGTTTCTACCTTAACATTAAGTGCTGTCCTTAACATGGAACAGTCACTGGAGGAGGGTGAACCAGATCTTGTGAGCCTGTGAGATTTACATATTACTTGGGATAGTTATTAATAAAGTAAAGAACTTTTACAGTAATCACTTGGTACCATAAGGGAGTAATCTTCTATAGTAAATTTGTGTGTTTACTTGTGTAAAAATTGCTCAGTGAATTGCGGTTATAAAATATGAAATTCCATTTGCAGTGGCTGTGGAAATATGCAATACCAATGCACAATACGCAATAAGAACGTACTGTCTAAGAGGCACATTTGAAGAGGAAGACTTAGTGACTCTGCTGGGACAGAATCTCAGGGAGAGAACAAAGCAAATCCAACTCTGGAATCAAAAGGAACTTTGTGTTACATTTTTACCTCTTTTTCCCATTACCTTAGTGGCTGGGAAGGAATCTGTCTGAATACTATATATAGATTAGGACACTGAATCTACTCATCTTGAAAGATACAACAGAGAAGAGCAATAGAGCTATAAGGAGCTTTTAAGGCAAATAATGTAAGGAGACTTAGAGCCTGAGTGCAGTAAAGAGCAGACTGAAAAGGAACGTCATGGCAATAGGACAAGGAATAATGTTTTGAAACTGAAAGAGGGTTAGTTTAGATTAGGTGTAAGGAAGAAGTTTTTTACAAGGAGGGTAGTGGTGAAACACTGACACAGGTTGCCCATAGACGTGGTGGATACCTCAGTCTTGGAAACATTCAAGCTCAGGTTGGATAGGACTCTGAACAATCTGGTCTAGTTGATGATGTCCCTGCTTGTTGCTATGGGATTGGACTACATGACCTTTAAAGGTCTCTTTCAACCCAAACTATTCTATGATTCTATGGCTTCTATGATCATCTTTTCTTTAGAAGAAGAGTAACGATGATGATGAAATCAATCAGTTCTCTCCATGACCATGAGTGCAGAGTGAAAAATTATGAATTTAGTTTGGAGCAAGGTAGACAGATATTTGGAACATCTTCCCAGCTGTCTGGACAAGTAGACACTGTAGAAGGTGAGAAAATTGATGGGATCCTCTTGAGAGGCTTTTTTTATCTGTTACTTTAAGGAAATGGATTTCATGCAGTCATAAAGTATCTCTGGCCCCAGTGGTTCCTTCTAACCAAAACTTGCACAGGTAAACACATTTTCAGAAATCTGACCATTAATAAGAACAGAGAAACCCTATTAAAGTTATCACTTAAAGAAAAAGTCTCATTGTGTTTATATGACCTGCTAGGCTTTACAGAACCCACTTGGATGAGATGCCTTTAAAATATTTCAGTCATAGGAAGAGCTTCAAATGGAGCATGCAGTCAAATGGGGAATGCGTATCTGTTGGTAAGGAGACTTTGCTAGAGCTGAAGTTCATGAAGCTCCTTATTAGAAACAATTTAGACTGACTTGACATCTGTTCAGTTGATGTACAGGGATGCTTGATCCAGAATACTTACGTTATGAACCGTGAACTTATCCAGTATCATACTGTGTTTTCTTTTGGGGGGATTTAGTAATGTTAGCAGACACAGGATAAGCCCAGATAAGGTGGAAAATATTAAGTGGCACCAGCTGCTCTAGATGCACAGAACAAAGCAGTAAGTATGGAGGTATTTTTTATACTGAGGCTCATCTCTTATCCCCGCAAAATGCAGTTGTTTGTTTTCTCTGGCAAGTCTTTATGCACACCAAAATGTTTCAGAAACCCCCAGTGAATCACTATTTGTTGTCATCAGCAATAAAAATCCTTTTGACTGCACTGGGAATGATGTATAGCTCCTGTTATGTTTGGAACAGTGAAAACTATTAAGAGCTAAAGTAATTTTGCTTTTCAAGAGTAAATTCTGAGTACAAGTCTTTGAGAAGTCTTACATTTTATTTTCAAATAAATTTGTTACTATCCCATAAAGAAAATGAAAGCTCCAAACACTTTTCCGAAGACTGATGTAACTGTATAGGCTTTAATTTTACTGTGATACTATTAGAGCTTTCTTTTTGTTCTATGAAAAATATTTTAATATAGTTAAAGGGCTCTTATTATATGAAAGTAGTATTTATTTTATGATTCATGCAAGAATATCAGTTTAAAATAAACTGATGAACACACATTTCCTTAAGCCCTTTTTGGTCCTTACAGTATTTTCTTGGTGAAACTTATGTGGCCCAAATATCTTTCTAGTGTTATATATGATGGGAAGATTTGAGTAATAACATAAACAACAGGAAAATAAATGCCCTAATGGATACTACTTAAGTGTAATTAATAGCCTTACTTATCTAATTCTGGTGTTTTCATTGACTTTAGACTCAAATTAGCCAATAGTTGCATTTTAGTAGTGCTGTAGTTTATAAGCTTATCTGCTACTAACAGTAATTTAATGGGAATGTGTAATACATATGTGTGGTATATTGTCAATGCCTTTAAATATTAAAACACATTTTACAGGAAGTGCAGATTTCAAAAAACTTTAAAAAATAGCTGTTTTTACATGCCAGGCTGCATCTAACTGTGTCGCTGAATCATAGATTTATGAATGTAGTATATACACAGCTCTAGGTATTAAGATGAGTTTGTATCTCTACACTGTTCAGGCAAGACAGCCAAATGAAACAATTTGAGATGTACCCTGCTGCACACAGGGCTGGCTCATAGGCAGAGCAGGCAGTTGCCTGTGGAGGGAGACTGAGTGTAGCAAAATGGCCTTTCCTTCACCTCTTTCCCCAGTTCTCCTTAGATCTATTCCCTCCCCTTCTTTCCTGCTTCCCCTTGCCAGAAGCTCTGTAGGTGGTAGAACTATGCCCATGTAGCAAACTCTGAATTTTTATGCAGCTTCCTGGTCTGCTTTTGCTGTCCTCAGATTGCCACAGGTTTGCTTTTAGCTGAGTTAGGGCTATCAAGTTTGAAGTGAGCTTGATGTTTACATGTACAATACAGGCATGCTTTTGACTGAATTTGAGTGCTGTCTGTGGGTAAAGCTTTGGAGCCAGGCTCTGTACCACTGACTTTTTTTTTCCCGCATAATTAAAAATGTCTTTAGAACCCCAGATGGATCTTCTTTGGGCTGCTCACAGTGATCTTCTTAGGTGTAGTTAAATTAGGGAACTAATTCTCTTTTCATGAAAGTGGAAGTGTGGTCCTTAAAATCTTCAAAAGAAGCCTGGCAGTGATTTTTTCACTTGAATTAAAGAGACTGCAGCAGGCATCTCTGTAGTCTATATATAAAGTACTCACTTTATGGGGAATAAAAATAAGTTACTGTCAAAGTATTGTTTAAGGGGATAAATTCATAACAGTGGTCTACAAGTAAAGCCCGCTGGTTGTCTTTAGGGAACGGTAGTTGCTGTGCAGGTAAGGGATGCAGGTCAGGACCATCTGCATTTGCTGCTTGTCAGTGTTGAAACTGGAAGGATTCTCTTGCATGGTGAGTTTAGAGTTTCCCATGGAGGGAAGGTGTTTGATGTGCCTCCATATGGGACACAAAAGCCCAAATTGACAGAAGGATCAAACTTCTTTTATTCAACCTCCCAACACAGACCATATACATATTGGGGAAAAAACCATAGTGACAGTTTTTGTTTAAACATAACTTCTGATCTATATGCAAACTGTACTTTAATGTTGGTGTATCCAGTCAGTGTCCATGAGACATTTCCACCAACATCTGCTATAGGCAGTCTAGTTCATCTGACTAATGAAATAGTACCTCATTTGTTTTGTTCTCACACATGAGGGCCAGTCGGTTTGTAAACTTCAGGCTGTTGTTGGCCAGAAGGAATCTGTGATGAAATGTAGTAAATCTTTTAAAATGATCTCTTAAAGATTCTTTTATAAACATTTGTAGAGAATCCAATTTGTAATTTCTGTGAAAATTATCTAGTACTCTGAGATTAAGGACTGAAAGTTGGGAAGTAAACACTGTGTTCTTTAGTCAGGTTAAAAAAAATTAATTAATCCCTAGTTTTAAATGCAATGAAAATTTTAAGTGTGGAGCCTTTATGGCGCCTTTATAATACCACATAAAATTCATGGTATTTTGGCTCATAACTCTGATTTGCACTTTACTGCTGGCAGTTACACAGTTTACTGCTCTTGCTATCTTTAATTGGTAGACTGATAAGACTGTAGAAAAAACAGCATTATTTTGCTTTGGGGTAGAGAAACCAGTTTTGTAAGCCTGTGAGAGGAAGAGTAATTCTGGTTCAGATCAGCATTTCTTTGCTCTGCATAATACTGGAGGACCTTTCACTTAATTACCACTGGAAAGCGTAAATGCTTAATTGACATAAAAACCCCAATACATGCATTTTACAGTTTTCCTTTTGATCTTCCATGTGGTTGCATATTGTACATGCAATTTGAAAAGAACAACTAAAAGGCTCTGATACGGATGTGTGCTGGCATTTGAGGAGGGCTTATGTGAGTACAGAGTTAGATGCAGCATCAAAGAAAGGAATACACCCATTTCACATGAATAAATTGAGCATGTAATTAACACCTGGACTTTACAAAATACTTTTGAAACACAGTTAAATCTGCTGCTTTTCCACAATGAACAAAGTGCTAAAAGTGAGAATATTGATCCCTGTGGAGTTTGATTTGAATGTATTTGACTTCAGATGCATTCTGAATTCAAACCCTTGAAACCCTTTAAACCATGGAGTAATACTGAACACTGTCTTTTTATAACTGAAGTCAAAGGACTTTAAGAGCTAATTTGAATTCTTAGTTTTTTCTTTTTGAGGGACACAAACTGTATTTTCCATGTAAGAAGAAACAATTCTAATTAATGTAATCTTTCTCTTTTCCCGTAGCAATTTATCCAGAAACAACCTCTCAAGTTTGTCCAAGAAGCCTTTTCGCCATCTGGGTTTGTCTGATCTGTAAGTTGTCAGTTTTTAAAATGTAGTTTATTTTTGGCTGGAATGGAAGAACAAGACTTTGAAGCTTTTTCTTTTGAAGGTAGATGTCCATCAAGGAGTAGGGTGAAATTTTGATCCAAAGAAAGCATTGATGCTGAACACTTAAATATAGAGATATTTTCATTCTAGAGCTTCAAGAAGGTCAGGTATATATTTTAAATCAATTAGAGGTTAAAATATCCTCTTCCCTTCAGCTTTAAGATTATTTTATCATGAAGGTACCTCACACAAAACTACTGTTTTTTATATTAAATATTTGAGCTAGTGAAAATACAGTCTTCTGCAGATTTTCAAATGAAGATTCTTTCTCATATTCTTATATGAGCTACTATGCTTATGGTTGGCTATTGAAGAATATTTTTATTTTCTCAAATTCTTTGAGTTGCACTGTGCTTTATATAATAGTTTAGTAATGAAAGCACTGGTAAACTTATATTTATTGATGGTTTCAATATTAACATTTTTGTCCTCTGTTACATCAACTGGATCTTTTTTTGTTGGTATGCGTTCCAAAATTTTGGTCATCTGCATTCTCTGCTAATATGCAGACAGACTGCAGAAGCTTTGGGAGGGCTGGGCCTGCACTGGAAAGGGAGACTGCTCTCCTGGAGCTCAGAGCAGAGTTAGTTGTCCAAAAGTGCAACAGCAGACATGGAATCCTTGTTCTTTTCTGGTGAACTTCAGCATGTGAGAAGTGAAATGAGCAAATATTGGTGCCACAAAAAGAGGTTATTCCCTTTGGGTGTGTTTTGCTGATAATTTAACTTGATGTAATTATTTTCTTTACAGCCCAGGGAACATCGCTCACTGGAATTTTTTTTCATAACTTGGCAGTTGCTGAGCACTCTGATGGAAAGACCAGCTAGTTGCAGAGCACTCCCATTGCTCCATGCCCTATGTTGGTCTGTTGGTTCTGCGTGAAGAAGCAGGGGAAGGGTGCTGGGAGTGAGCCAGTCATGGGAAAAACAGATAGTGAGAAGGTTAAACAGAGTAGTGTTTGAGGTGTGGAGTCAATATGTGATGAAGTACAAGTTGAGAGAGAAAGGGCATACAAAGCTGAGATACAGAGTGTTGTGGGCTTGTGAAGTGTAGGAGTAGATTACCTGAAGTCATGTAGACGTTGTGATGAAGTGAGATAAACAGACATAAAGAAAGGGGAGGAATAAAAGCAGAACCTGAAGAGAAGAATAGGAGTGACAAAATCAGTATAGTTGAACAATTCTGTTGATAAGTAGTTAATACATAGGTGGAAGATGAGAAAGGGGAGAAAGAAGAGTGCGGGTAGATGAATCTGAGATAAGAATGTTACCATAAATAGCTTCTTCCGTCTTTGAGGAACTTTCTCAAAATCTGACAAGTATGTTTGTACTGTTAGTACTTTTGTGAATCAAAATGTAAAGGGATGAAAAGTTTAGGATAGGCTGCAGTAGAGGCTATTCACCAGGTATTATAAGATAGAGGTACCAGTTTGAAAGGCTTCTTTTGGAGCAAACTAACTGCAGCTGTAAATTTACAGCAAAAAAAGATAAAGACTCATAATTTGCTTTTACTAGGTCAGATTCTTTCTTTCACACAAGTGTCTATAGAGGGTCATTATGTCCCCAGCATCGATGTGCCTACCTCCCTTGGTGCATTTAGCATAAAATAACGGAGTGGAAGAAAAAGCTCAGCCATTGGTCAAGAGAAATTCCTCTTTTACAGGGAAGCTATAGTATGAAACAGAGGATAGAAGTAAATCTTGCAGTTGTGAAAATGCATGTGGTAGGCTTTGACTCCAGGAGTCTTTGTGTTCATATTGTGTCTTGCACAGTATGATTTGCACTATTTTTGTCCATGCTGTTGTGGTGTTGAAGTCGAGCAGATGACTTCTGTGATTATAAGTTGCTCCTTCAGAAACTTAAGAGGATGAGCTCTGCATTTGATAATCCTCAAAGAATTTGAGATGACTTTTGGGAGAAAAGGTTATGGCTCTATGATAAGCTGATTTTTTCATGGTTTGCACACTTCATGTCCTTAGGAAGCTTTTATGAGCATAGATTCTTTGAGGAACTTGAGCTTCTGTACATTGAAACTGCCCATGAATCTTCGTTAAGAAAAAGTTCTCCTTGTAACGAAATGCCTTAAATAGTCACTTGTTCACCCACCTTACTGAATGTCATGTATGCCTGTAGAACTGTTTATGTAGACATTGGGATGTTTCTTTTTGTATTTAATTTGTACATTACTGCATCACATTGTGTAGTTTTATTAAATTTTAAAACTAGAATTTGCTAAGTTTGCTAATCACTAAATTCTGTGCGGTGTACCATATCCATTTCTGTTTTAGGGACGTCTTTTCAGTTAATATTTCTTCATGACATTACCTAAAGTTTTACTGTGAGATTTTCTGAAAGTTTTGTAGTACATTGGGTAGTAGAACATTAGGTAAAATAATTTTTTTATGATTAGACTTTGTTAGTGCTTGTATGTAATCCAAGAGTCCAAGACTATAAAGAATTTACAATCTCACAGCAATAAACCCTATTTGAGGTAACTGAACTTGGGTTCAGAGGCTCAGTGTAGAACAGAGGAATTCTGATATCTGCCTATGAAAAAAATGGACCTTCATAGAAATGCCAGTTCTCCATGTGCTCCTGATTTATCCTGATGAATTGGAAATAGTAGGCAAATTCCCTGTGTGATTTCTCCTACCTGTGAGAGTTTGGGTCCCTCGTGCATGCACAGCTTAATTCCCCACATGGAACCTGTTACTGACTTGCAGCTTGCACTGGGCTGTTTACCAAGATTGCATGCCTTATGCTTCTTAACTAGAGGGTTCAACTTGCATATCTTAACCTCCTTAACTAAAGGATTCAACTTCTACTTTCACCCAGCTGAATGCCTGTAGTTCGTGTACTCCTCATTTTTTTTCTATATGCATGACACATTTTGCCTTCTAAATAAATTAGTATTTTTTTGTTGTAGGATATTGGTGGACAATCCATTCAAGTGTTCCTGTGAAATCATGTGGATCAAGAAATTTCAAGAGACCAAGTTTTACACAGAAACTCAGGATTTATATTGCATAGATGACAACAACAAGAAGACAGCCTTGCTGGATATGAAGGTCCCAAACTGCGGTAATATTCTTTTAGCATAAAACTACTGCTAAATTATTGTGAGCCAGGAAAAACAAACATGTTTTTTTACAAGGTATCAGGATGACAGCAGTGCTCTAAAGGAAAAGTTTTCAGTGGAAATATTAACCACTCAGTGATCTTTTACTCCACTTGGAATCATTTTGGTAACTTCATGGAATCATAGAATATGCTGAGTTGGAAGGGACCCACGAGGATCATTGAGTCCAAATCCTGACCCTGAACAGGACACCCCAAGAATCACACCATCTGCCTGGGGGCATTGTCCCAACACTTCTTGAACTCAGACAGGCTTGGTGCTGTGACTCTTCCCTGGGGAGCCCGTTCCAGTAACCAACCACCCTCTGGGTGAAAAATCTTTTCCTTATGTCTAACTTAAACCTCCCCTGACTCAGCTTCATGCAGTTTCCTCTAATCTTACCACTGGTCACAAGAGTGGAGAGATCAGTACTTGCTCCTCCACTTCTTGTTGTGAGGATTTTGAAGACTGCAGTGAGGTCTCCTGTCAGTCTTCTCCAAGCTGAACAGACCGGGTGACCTCAACTGCTCCTCATACGGTTTCCCCTTCAAACCTTTCACTACTTCATGTAAATTTGTTGGTATTTTTCTCTTGATTCTTTAAGGATGTACTTTATTCTAGTGCAGGGAAACAGAATACTGATTGTAGATAATACACAAGAATTATATAGACTGCATGTGCCTTTTTTGAACTTACTTAAACTTCTTTACTCAGTAGATGTGAAATTTTACTTCCCTGAATTTTTTTTCAGATATTTGTGGTTAATGAAGTCTTTATTTTCCTTCAAAAATACGACCTGTAGTACTAGGACCATAGGAAGAAATTTCAGAAGAGCTGCCTGCTAGTTGAGACTGATTAGCAATAGCTCTGGTCTTCACACAAATAAAATTCTGCTGAGTTAACTTGTAAAGAATTATATCAAGCTTAAGTCTGTAGCATATTGCAGCATACTTCTTCAGTTATCATATAAGAGATAGTGAAAAAATGATGTAACCAATAACGCCATCCCCTTTTTTTTGTATTCAAAGTTGTTGACTGTATATGGTCCTGAGACCTTGGGGGAAAGGTTTGACCCACTAGTTGGAGAGATTTCTCCTCCTGTCTGTATGGGGGGCAGAGATGGGGTGTTTCTAATGTGATGTCACATCTGATGGACTCTGGAAATTCCTTTGTGGAGTGGGGAGCTTGGGTGCCCAGCAGCAGGAAGGCAAAAAGGAAGGGGGGCAAGGGCATCTTCATGGAACGCTGATTTGGATTGGAAAAACTGTAAGTGAAGATGAGCAGCAGGATAAATTATACCTTTTCTCCTTCTACCTTTGCCCACTGAGTGTCCTTTTCTCCACTGCCTGTAGGGAGGGTGTGACATCCTCTGATAGCAGCTACCAGCAAAGAACAGACATGGAGGGGACGTACTGCAGGCCCCACAAGTGCACCATTTAATGACAATGATGCATTTTGTGGTCACACATCTTGCTATAAGTCTTGGTGTCCAGCTTCCTTCTGGGACCAGGTGTGGTGGTGTATTCATGGCAAAAATAGTGCTAGTGTCTGGTGCAATCAAAAAAACCCCACCGAAATGACCTGTTTAGGGGGTCTTGTGAGCTGCAGAGTAGGTCTTCTGTACTCAAGGATCTGATTTACCTGACATGGGAGATGGTACCTAGCTGAGCTCCAGCTGCATAGATTAGAAGGTAGATTCAACGTGCTGGGTATAGAGAGGTTGGTCTGCTGTTGAACTGAAATCAGTAAGTGCAGAACTCCAACATAGTCTTTCATAACATTCTTGGCTGGCACATCTATAAGCTACCAGGGAGTTGGGATTTTCCTTTGAAAACTTTTGATGTTAAATACCCAGAATTAAACCTATGAGACATTAGTTCTTCCTCCTGATTTCTTAACCATCTGCAGTCAAAACAAGCTTGCCTCTGACCTCTGGATGCTGTGTAGGTGCATATGTGTGTACCCATGCATGCATCCTGTGGGCATATCTTGACTGAAAAACTTGTCATGACAAGGGAAGGTGGTACTTCCAGCTAGAGGAGGAAAATGAGGAGGAAAGGTGAGTACATACAACATTTAGATTCGAACTTGCAGTATGTAAAATTTGCATATGGAAAACATGCATTATTTTGAAGGTCTGTGTGAATGTCAGCACATGCCTACACATCATTTATGTTAGCTTTTGGGGTCCAAATATCACCAAACTTTCCATACCTTTTTTTCCTTACCTTGTAGATGCTCTTTCCCCTTAGTTTACCTTTTCCAAAATGAACCAATACAGGTCATAGGTTTTTAATAAAGACAACACAGGCTTTTCCTAGACACAAAGCAGAAAATCCCAGATAAAGAGGGAGACTATTTTGATGGCATGTGTTCTGGAAGGTATCTGAAAGATCCAATGCATGGCTTTTACTTTCAGTATCTTTGCAGATATTTTTCTGTATTTTAAAGGACAAGACTTAGTTTCAAAACAAAACCACTCAAGATGCTGGTTTATTTCATTTCCAGAACTTTCTGAGAAGCTAGTATGTAGAACTGAAATAGAAGAGGAAATCAGATTTTAACGTATGGGAACTTTTTTTCCTGTGAGCTATGTGACCTTTTTAGCTACCTTTAAATGTTAAGGGAAATTTTTGGCATGCAGGCCTTTGCATTTTGTTAGTAAAATGTTTTCTAATTTTTCTCTGCTAAGTAAATGGTTTCATCCTATCTTCTTGTTGAATCTGTTAAGTTTGTTTTTTTAACTTAGAAAATAAGCAAACGTGCACATGTTATGTCTTCAGGTGGTATGAATTACTTCATAGTATTACAGTTTATATAAAAATGTGTATATGAAATATATATAACGTGTACATATATAGTTTATATATATACATATATATTACAGTAAATATTTTGGTAAGAGGATGTCTTGCTACTGTGTGTTGTGAATAAATCTCTTGCTGAGAAGTAGGTAGAGACCACTATGGTTTCTTGATCGTAAGGCTTTAGTTTGTACTAATTGATGACAAAGTCAGCAAATTGCTGTGGTACTTTACTTACTGTTTGTATGGTGAAAGTGTTCAATAATGTGCTGACACTGATTGCAATTTAGATGCCATCAACTTTGTGATTTATTTTCTTGAGGTTTAAATTCAGGTATGCCCACTATCCAGAAGATCCTTGCCAGCTGCAATATTAGAAGCGTCAATCAGTAATTATTTTTTTCAACTGCATTTGAAATGTGTTTAGATATGATAAAAATTTCCAGATTCTTCCAAGTTTTAAATTCACACATAATTACTATGTCAAAGGTTTTCAAGTTACATCTACCCCAATAGAACCTTCTGTGTAAGAAATGATGGTGTTTAGTTTTGCCATTTTCATAGCATTTGTTGATTGTCTGTACAGCATGGACAACATCTCCACCTTGTCAGTCCTCTTTTGTTTCCACATGATAAATAGCATTAGAGAATCAATAAAGAGAACTAAATAAGTAAAGACTTGGTTATTATTATTATTACTTCTGTAAGCTCTGGTGGCAGTTTCCACCAGTATGTTAAGTGCCTGGAAGGAAGGCATATCGTATGCTTGGAGTAAGGTCACTCAAAGACCCAAAAGACCCAAGAGAACTTCTCCAGATTACCTGGAGCTCACTCAGTGTCAAGGAGGCAGGACAATGTGTTTGGGACTGGTGGTTTGATTTGTTACTCGCTCCCTCTGGTAGGCGTTCAGTTACTCAGCTGTTATTGATGTCAGTGATACTGAAAATAATCTTTTCATCTGGTGGTGTTTTGGGGAAAGGCATGGCTTCTACAGCTATCTCTGCAGTCCTGGGCAGACCTCATGTTACTCTGGATCTCAGTCTGGTAATGGTATTTTGCCTTATCTGGCAAATTATGCAGAAACGATGCCTAATCGGTTTTTCAATTTTGCCTACTGTCCCAGCTTTGAAGGCTTGCTTATCATCTATTGTTTCTTCACATGCCTTCTCTCTTGTCATTGGTCATGTATGCTAGCAAAAATCTACTGAAAAATATCACAAATTAGTTCTGTGTACTAATTTGCTGTACATATAACTAAGGTATGTTCAGACTGGGTGTGTGTTTACATATGCAACTGTTGTTTGGTCTGAGAACTATGGGATTTTATGAATGCTCACATTCTTTACCTGTCTCTTCCCTTGCACATGAACTATTGTGGTGTTGCTCTTAGTGCTGCTTCTTGTGTATGACTAACAAAATTTTAAAAGTCATTGTAATGTAGAATTTCAGTCTAAGGTGATGGATTGCCCATTTCTTGCTTGTTGGGGAAAGCCGTGAATTTTAACAGGCAATTGTTCAGATGACTGCAAATGTACTGGACTGGATCTGGCCCCCCTCTAGCCTGTTTCTGGTGATTTTTTGGTCCTAGAGGTAAATAAGTAAATGGTAATACTAGACTGGAGGCAGGTGGTTATAAATTCTAAAGGGGGAAAAAGGCAAACTGAAGGATTGATATATATGTTTCTTTCTCATATGTTGAATTTGCAGAAAAGATTTGTAGTATTACTAAGTCAATAAAATAAGCATTAGATCTTAAGCAGTCATGGTACAATACAGTGTAAAACCACAAGCAAAGGCATAATCTAGTGGGCGTTGACATTTTTTTCCATTATGAACCAGATTTCATAGATAAGACTATTAGAAGAAAAAGATTACAGGCAGAATGAAGTGAGTTTAAAAAAGCCTTAGGTGTTCTTAGTGTTTAGTTAGAATATTCATGGACTCTGTAGCCTCTGTTGTTTATTTTGGCTAAAAACTAGATGTGATGCATGATGTTTGGTGACAAACTTTTCTCTGTAAGAGTTTTGATTCTTTTGATTATCTGTGATCGTGGGCTGTGTGAAAAAGTTTCATTTTTTATGAGACTTCTACAGTATTGGGGTTTCACTGTTGCTCCCAAGTTGAATTGGAATATTCCAAACTTAATTAAAACAATTTTG